AAAATTCCCTTGCTGGCACTCTTTTCATCCCCTTTCTACGATCTCTCATGCTCTTCGCCGCTCCATCGTTCGCCATGGCAACTCCCGCTGACGATTCTGCCGAGCCATCAGCCACCACAACTGTCCTCGCCGCATACTCTCCTGTCCTCCTCGTCCTCCTCGTCCTCTTCTGTCTTTCTCCTCTCCCTCTATCTCCTCCTTTTTCTCCATCCTCTCCCTTTCCATCTTTCTTGCTCCACCCCCCCTTTCTCTACTTCCCGATCTCATCCTGACATGTCTCACCTTCCTCCATCATACCCGACGTCACCGACGTCTTCCCTTCGGTGTTGGTCTCGGCGGAGAACTCGCTGAAATATCCTGACAAGGAGAGTCAACGGAAGTTCTGGGCCCCAGTCGATCTCACTCTCGCTCTCCTCCTCTGGCGATGGCAGAGACTGGCGAGGAAACAAAAACGTCAAACGTCCACCGTCTGCAGGGCTCAGTCGGCAACCAGACCTGGTTCGAGTCCCCTCGTCGTTTCAAGAACCAGTCAAGGCTCAAGTTGGATTTGGACAGGATAGGAGAAGCAAACTCGTCATCGTCCAAGTCCTCGCGGTTGTACGGTGAACTTTGATCGGAGGAGATGTACACGAGGTCCCTCCTTGGGACGTTTGCATGCTCCGGGTTTGCCAGCGGGCTGACTTCTTGGATGGTGTCGAGCAGCGAATGATCTGCCTGCAAACGAAACTTTGTTGTGCTTCAGTGAATAGAACGTCAACATTTCACGGGGACAGCTAAGTCCCTCGTTCTCTGCATCTTTGACATCAGTAGCCGCAGCATCAGCATCAGCATCGTCAGCGTCATCGTCATCGTCATCGTCATCATCGTTATCATCGTCGTCGGTGTCGTCATTATCACAAGCAAGCACACCACTGTCGCACGAGCCATCGTGTTACCTGATTCCGACCGCTCCCTTCAATTCTCATCCTTCGGCGATTCTCCCCGCCCTTGTCGTTGGCAGGGTTGATCCTGAAAGGGACATCTCAGCAAAGATCGAGAGCACTTCATGCACAACAAAAGCACTTCAACATCGAGCACAACAACTCTTCATGCACGTTGCAGAAGACAGCGGAAATGTACAAAGTCCTCCGGACACAGAGCTCCACAAGACACTGGTTTTCATCTGAAAAGTCACTACATCAAGAACACGTCACCACCTGCCCCTGCCGATCGTCTTCAGAGCTGTCCTTACACCCCTGCCTTCGACCTTTCCCTACAAAATCTTCACAACAAACCGACAGCAGGCAGCCCGACTCAGCCTACCCCTGCTGGACCCTCTCTAGCTTCCATGACGGTTGGGCTACTTGCGGGTACTGGAGACTGATTTGTCTCTTCCTTGACCCCCGCAGACTCTTCATCCCCTTTCTCCTCAACCTCATCCACGTCCTCTGATGACGTCAGCACGTAAATCGACTTCGCCCTGTACAACCTCAGTCATCAGCATCTCTGCAGATGCGACTTGGCACAAATCTCTTACTTGGGCTCCAAACCCTGATAGCAAGACAGACCGTAGTGATTCAAGATTCCATCATTCGCTCCTTTCTCACGGAGATAGTTCCCTGGTTGTCACCGTCACTACAAACAGCAACGAGCAGCGAGCAACCACCGAGGTCTTCGTATCTGTATTGGAAGCAGAAATGCAGCGCTGTTTGGCCCCGCCAGTTCTGCGCATTGAGGTCCGCTCCTCTCCTCAACAGGATCTTGCACATCTTCTTGGACCCCGTCTGTGCTGCAACGATAATGAGCGTGTTCCCAAACTCATCTCTAGTCTCCGTGTCAACACCTGCGGCAGAGGAATCGGATCAGAACGTAACGCAAGGTAAACAATAAATTTCCGACCGCCGTCGAGGATCTCACAGACTTTCTCGTATCGTCTGTTCCTCAGCTTGATGATCAGCATCATCAGCTCCTCCTTGCTCAACCCTCTGCCCTCGACCGTCCTCGACCCTTGCTGAGCCCCTCCCACCACCTCCTGTGCTTGACTCTCCGGCATCCCCTCCTCCACGAGGGGACCCTTGCGGGAGGAGGAGGAAGAGGAGGAAGCAATTATTCGCGGACTTTCACTGATGAGACCAGCTTGTTCCTCTACCTCATGCCAGACCATCTGCGCTTCAAACTGCTTCATCCTCAGCTCTCGAATGTCGCCCCATGCTCGCTGACTAGCAAGCAGCTCCCTGATCCGATCGATCTGCTCTTGCACCTCTCCCGCCAACTTCTCCCTCTCGTCCCTGCCATTCGCCTCCTCCTCCTCTCCCTCTCCCTCCCCCCCCCCCTTGCGCTCTTTCTTGTCTGAGCGTTGACTCGGCTTGCTCTGTCTTTGTAGGATCGTAGGGAACCGCCTCTTCCCGTTCCCTCGTTTGTTCCCCTCCTCCCTCTGTTCCTCTGGCATACCCTGCAGCACCCACCAGCTGAAGATGCACAGGTCACATGCTGTCTGGACGTATGGCCACCACCATGCCCGCCGCTCAGAAGCTGGTCGCCTCCTCTCTGCCGCATCGTCCACCCCCGCCGATGATCCTGCAGGAGGTTGGTCGGCACTGTAAGCCTGCCTCCTTGTCAGACGGCTCTCCTTGTGTCTGTTGGGCATGATTGCGAAGCTCGACTAGCCGCGGCGACTTGAGGGCATCAGCTGAGCCTTCAGCCCAGTGCGACCATGGAGAGTGTTGGATGGTGACGACGCCCTAGCGACCCGAACCATGCTGTCCTGCCTTGTTTGAAGGTCTTTCCCGTTCCTGTTTGCAGGCCTCCACATATCTTCACACAGTCTGCCACCTTCTATCTCCACATCTCACATGATGTCGCATCTTCATACCTGCCGCATGTCTCTCTCTCCCTCCTCCTTCCTCTCTCTCCCTCCTCCTTCCTCTCCCGCCCTCCTCCTCCCTCGCCTCCAGCATTTTATCCTTCTCTCTGGTGATTGTCCTACACCAGAATCGAAAGGAAATTCTTTTTTTACTCAACTTGTAACTAAACTCATTGTGACCTAAACGGCCGCATGAACTTTCAACCTGGCCGGGCGCCCCCGTCAACTCGGCTGAGTGACTAGCGCCTGCCGGGCCCGGTGGCTCGGGCTGCTCAGCTGCCCGGTCCCAAGTGCACTATATAAACACTCAGCGAACTGAGTGGCACTCTATGCCGTGTCTGACAGTGTCCAATTGAGGAATCAGTTGACCTCAGTTGCTCCACCTCCTCCCACTCGCAGCCTCGCTTGAAAGGCTGGTTAAGATGTCGAGACTGCCCTCCTCTCCAAGGTCACGTCGTATTCTTCCTCCCCCCTCCTCAGCCGCAGGGTAACAGGCGTCCCCTCCTCCCCCAGCAGCTTGGCAGCGAGCGCCTGCCACGGCCCAGCACGTCAGACCCCAGCTACAGCCCAGCCTCCCTCCTCATCTCACCTTGAGTGGATGGCCCGCTACTTCTTCCCCATCCACCTCCAGCAGCAGATCTCCGACCTCGATGCGCTCGCTGCTCGCTGCTGGCCCTCCGGGCAGGAGGCCCTTCACTCGCAGCCCAACCTGACGCTTCACCTGCTCCTCTTCCTCCTCCTCCTTCTCGCTGAACAAGGGCTCCACGAACATGCCGACTCCAACTTTCGAGACCTACAATAGGCTCAGGCACGATCCTCCATCTCCACCTCCTCCCCCCGCCCTCTTTCCTCCTCCTCCTCCTCCTCTCCGCCTCTCGGCCCCCTTTGCCCCTGCCCCTGCCCCTGCCCCTGCCCCTGCCCCTACCCCTGCTCGACCCCTTCCTCAAACCTCCTACCTCCCACTTACCCCTCCTGCCTTTGCCGCTCGAGCTGCTGCTTCTCTCTTGCGCTGCTCTTCCCTTCTCCGCTCTTCCTCCTCCTCCTCGTCCTCCTCATCCTGGTCCTCCTCCTGAGCCTCCTGCCGCTGGAGGGTCACAAGCTGACGACAAGGGCTGCCAAAGTCTCCACCTGCCCCTGCTGGGGTCTTCGACGAGATCGTTGTGTGCGCCCTTGTGCTGCAGATGCTTCCTCCTCTCCTTCGTCGGTCTCGTCCTCTGCATCCTCCTCCTTCCCTCCCCGTTTGGCATCGTTGTCGTCATCATCATCATCATCGTCGTCGTCATCGTCTGCTGAAAACCTGCTGGGGATGAGGAGGGGGGTGCAGGAGTAGGAGCTAGCAGAGACCTGTTCTGCCTCCTCATCTTCGCTCTCTCGTCCGCTCTCCTCAGCTCCTTCATCCGTTCCTCGTCCGCCGCGATCCTCTCGGGGAAGACGATGTTCAGCTATTTGACCCGCACGTCACAACCCTTTTTCAACCTCTCCTCCCTCCTCCCTCCTGCTACCCGCTACCCGCTTCCGACTTCCCCTGCATCCCTCCTTCCTCATATCGTATCCTCCATCCTCATTCTGCTTATATCTCCTCCCTCGTCCCTTCCCCAACCCTCCCCCCATTATCCTTTCTTCCTCGCTCCTCGCTCCTCCTTGGTCCTCCTGTCCCCTCTACGCTCTCTCCCCTCCTTACCTTGATGATGAGCTTGCCAAACTCCCCCGGCTTCTGGTAGATGGGCATTCCCATCCCCAGCACCTCATGGCTCTGCCCAGGCTTCGTCACCTCGTTCCTCTCGATCTTGATCATCCTCCCGTCCAGATGCTTGATCTCCCTCTGAAGCACGAGGGTGACGAGAAGCAGAGGGGAGGGGAGAGAGGAGGGGGGGAGGGAAGGAGAGCGCGGAGGAGAGAGTACGGAGGGAAGGAGAAGAACAAGGAGGGCAAAGAGAATGGTTTGGACAAAGAGACAGAGAGAGGGAGGGGAAGAAAGTCAGCGGGGACGCATTGGAATGCAGGACGGAGGGGGTTTTCAGAGGAGGAGCAACCTGGAACCCAAGGAGCGCCTCCATCAGCGAGATGTTCTGCCAGGTCACCAAGTCGTGTCCTTCCCGCTCAAAGTCTGGATGCTCCTCGGAGTAGATATGAAGGACGACGTCACCCGAAGTGACCCCAGGAATCTGAAGGAGGGGACGAGTGAGCAAAACAATCGTCGAAGGTGATGATGAGGGGGGAGTGATGATGGTGGTGATGATGAAAAAAATTGTTGTTGTTGTTGTTGTTGTTGTTGTTGTTGTTGTTGTTGTTGTTGTTGTTGTTGTTGTTGTTGTTGTTGTTGTTGTTGTTGTTGATGATGATGATGATGATGATGATGATGATGATGATGATGATGATGATGATGATGATGATGATGATGATGATGATGATATAGCCATTGTCGATGGTGGTGGTGTGGTGATGGCGATATGGTAGTAGACAGGACAACCGGAGCAAAAGGAAGAGAGCGAGGGAGAGGGAGAGGGAGAGGGAGGTAAGAGAAAACGTTGTCTGTCACGAACCTGTTCGGCGTGCTCTTTGAAGGTGAAAGCATGGCCTTCCAGCATTCCGGGCTCGATGTTCACCGTCACTGTCACCTTCCCATCGATCTGCAGGATGCAGGATGACATCAGGACAGAGATGCAATCAGAAGCTGCGGTGAAATTGAAACGAAAGGCGATGAGATGGGATGCGACACAGCGATAGTTGTATTGCAAGGACGAAGATGGATGGAATATCAAAGATCAGGAGGAGGACGAAGAGGAGGACGAAGAGGAGGACGAAGAGGAGGAGGACGCAGAGGAGGACGAGGACGAAGAGGAGGACGAGGACAAAGAGGAGGACGAGGAGGAGGAGGAGTTATCAAGGAGGACATGAGAGTCAAAATAGAAGGGAAGCAAGGTGAGGAAACAATCGATAAAAAATTAAGGCAGGGCGAAGAATATCAGGAGCGGCCGTGGACGTATTTCTCACCGTCCTCTTTCCCTTACAACGAGGACAAGGCTCGCTCGCCAGCTTTCCGGATCCCTCGCAGTTCTTGCAGTTTACGACGAGTGTAGTCTCATACCCCGTGAACCTGATCACCAAACATCATCACCATGAGGACAAAGAAAGCAGCGAGCAAGCAGGAGGGGAGGAGTGAAGGTGAGGGAGGTGACAGGAGGATAGCGGGGCAAGCAGGAGGAGGGAGGAGGATCGAGGAGCATGCAGTAGGAGGGAGGAGGGACGATAGAGGAGGAGAGCTTCAGGCCCGCACTCTTTCGCCCGGTGCTTCGAGTATCGATGCCTCGCCGCATTCCAGAACGACCTGGCACGAGGGACTTCAGGTCGACCTGGCACATCCCCATGGGTCTCACGTCTTGCTCTGCTTGCCGGTGCCCTTGCAGTCAGGGCAGCTGAGCAACTCCGCATTCTCCGCCGCCCCCGACCCGTTACAGTGGGGGCAGATCTCTCCCCTGACTATCCCGACGTCCATATGGAAACCGGTGTAGAAACCGATCATAGGAATCTTGATGTTGTGGTGAACATTTCCCGTACTCTTTTGCTGCCCCTCCTTGAATCCGAAGTCGATCTTGAGGCTGCCAGTCTTAAACGCCATCTCGATGTTCACAGGATCCTTCAGCGGGTCCTCGAACTTGGGCTTGTACTTCCCCTTGATCCCTCGCATCCCTTGCACCTCGTACACCCTCTTAGTGTCCGGATCGTTAAGGATCTTGTATGCTTCCGTCATCGACTCGAACTCCGCCATCCTCCTCCTATGTATCTCGGCCTTCTTCTCCCTGATGTATCTCTCCTCATCAGTCTCATGCACAGGCTCGGGAGGTCTCGTTGTATTGCCAGTGATGCTCTCGTTGAATCCTCCAGCGGAAGGGTTCAACCTCAGCACGAACGCACTTGCCGGGCAATGGAAGCACTTCTGCAAGTCCTTCTTGTACTTCTTGGCTCTCTCCCTGAAGCTGCTCCTGATCTTCGAGATGGTCGAGAGCCTTGGAAGTCCCAGCAACTTGAAAGCTTCGATGTCGGTGTAGTTGGTGATCACCTTATACTTGACAGGTTTCAGCGAGAACGGCCCGTCATCTTCATCGAGCACTTGATCATACTCTGGGACTTCGTCCTCCTCGTCTTCTGTCGTGTTCCCTCCTGTTGCTGTCCCGTTCTGTTCAGTAGCCGCTGATTTGGCGCAGATAGCTAAAAGCAAGACCATGACCAAGAACCATCGCATCCTTGCGGTCCTCGCTCCTCCACCTGCAACCCAAAGAACACTCAGCACTCATTCCAGGTCTCGGGCTCGTCATCCTCAACAACAATGCTTGCAACATATTGATGTTCATAGAACCCAAAATTTCATCAACCTTAGCCATCCTTATTCCGCCTGTACCCCACTATCCTTTTACACTCGTATAAACTCTCACTGTTCCTCTCTCCTGAGCATGATGGTCAAGGGTACGAGCAGGGAGAGGAGGGGAGCAGGGAGAGGAGGTGAGCAGGGAGAGGAGGGGAGCAGGGAGAGGAGGTGAGCAGGGAGAGGAGGGGAGCAGGGAGAGGAGGGGAGCAGGGAGAGGAGGGGAGCAGGGAGAGGAGGGGGGGTTGTGCATGTAAAGGTGCTGCATAGGGTCAAGACCCGCTCTTATAGAGTGATGATCGATGCTCTCTATAGACCCTACAAGCCCGCCTCATCGTCGAATACTCGGAAACGGAGAAGGCAGCGGGATCCACTACTCCAACCACGGAAGCGACGGCATGACGTAAAACTCTTGTTTCTCGGACCGGTTGTGTCCACGGGAGGGAAGCATGAAGACGCCCAGGGCGAACGAACCCTCTGAAGACCGCGACAACCAAGGTGAGACCTATCGATTTTGTACCAGTGTCGATCCCCCCCGTGCTGCGATGGCTGAGTGCGAGGCTCAATTTCTTTATGGGAAGCTGACTTGCGCGCTGCCCCCCAGGGCCTGAAAAGAAGAGACAAGATGTGAAGCAAGCTTCAACCCCTCGTTCCAAGACGGGTTCTGAGGAGATCCTCAATTCCGGCATCTCTGCTGAAGCTCAGGACTCTAGGACTCAGAGGTCTCCATGGATGAATGAAATGGAGGGTGTACACACAGGGATCGAGGGACTGCAATCAGAAATCGAAGGAGAACAACAAGAGAGGCGGAATGAAGAGATCGGAAATGTACAAGGAGGGATCGAAGATGTACAAGGAAAGATCAAAGGTGTACAAAAAGAGATTACAGATCTGTTGAAAGGGATGCAAGGTCAAAATGACCCAACGCAGGAGGAGATCCTCAAGCAGCTTGTAAGCAGCAAGACGCAGCATGTACAGTACCAGCAGCTGCTTGTAGACAGGGAGAAGCGGCTTGTAGAGGACAAGAAGCGGCTTGAGGGGCTTATTCCACGTCCTGTGCAACTTCGAGACAGCTTGTCAAGACCTGAAGGTGAAACAGAATTGAATGTGGCTATCATGGGTACTAACAGGACTGATGCTAGTTGGCATGCTAAGTTTCTTGAAAGAGCTCTGGACTACTGCACGCGCAGGAAAGGGCTTGGTGGCTAATGAATACGTCAGCTTCTCCACATGCTTGGGAGGCTATGAGACACTTGGAAACAAGCTCTTCATACGAGCGTGCTACTTGAAGATGAGGGAGCTGATTGCCAATGATTTCAAGTTGGACCCAGAGACGCTAAAGGGCAAGGACACCATACAAGGATGCCATCAAGTGGTCCTCACAGGTACTCCAGGGATCGGGAAGTCCTGCTTCGCATACTTCTTACTTCTTCAGCTCCTCCGGCCTGGTGAGGAAGTAGTGTATCAGATAGGGAGTGAATATTGGTACTTTGATGGAGAAGCATGGAGCCTGTTCATGGATGGATCCGTAGCGCAACGCCTTCTTCAAACGTTTAGGCACTGGTATATCTGTGATCTGTGGAAATACCATGGGAACTATTCGATATCACGAACCGCGAAAACAATCATAATCTCTCCACCGAAGTATGGGATGTTCAAGGAAATTGTGAATACTGGATCGGCGAAGAGATATTTCTTGCCGTTGTGGTCAGACGAGGAGATGTCACTCTTCATCCAGATGCAATCGGAGCGTGGTATGGACCCCGACGAAGTACAGAAGATCGTGGAGGATTGGGGCAATGTGCCGAGAAACATCGTCGTGAAACCTTTAGAGACACTTGAGCAGGCTGTTGGAGGAATAGAATCAGTGATATCACTCAAGAACAAGATGGATGCAGCAGTGAATGACGACCTTGGAATGCCATCGAAACTGATTCACCTTTCCCCCAGCACTGACTTCAGATCCTTTACCGCTCGAATATGCTCGACGAAGGCCGAGAAGATGATATTTGAGACCCTTGTGAAAAGGGATTGGGATGATGTTGTCGACTTTGCTTTTTCGAGTCCTACTTCTGGCTATCAGTCAGCTGCAGGTGTAGCTTTTGAACACGTTGCGCATGAGGTGCTGAAGGGAGGAGGAATGTACCATCTGCAAAGGCTGGATGAGGATACGGGCGATGGAAACGGGTCAGAAAAGCTGAAGTTGAAGGAATCGCAACCGTACATTGAATTTGCGTCATCAATCGGAGACTTGGAGGAGTGGGTGATCATGCCGGATGCATACTGTAAGCCAAAGGCATCGAACTTTCCTTGCATGGATGCGATGTTATTGTCTGCTAGCGGGGTTCTCTACATGTTCCAGATGACACGGGCGGGGAAACATCCTATCAAAGTGGACTCATTACTCAACATCTTGAACGCTCTGCGAGCCAAGAACAAGTTTGAGAGGCAATTATTTGTGTTCGTTGTACCTTCAGGGCATGAGGAAATGCCCTGCTGGGGACGAGATCAAGGCTTCACATCTCAGGGAGTGAAGGCAAGCCAGGAGCAGGAGAGTCAAATCAGGGGAGTCACTCAGTATATCATGATGCTTTCGAAGGAGGATGCGATGCGGAGGCCAAAGGGATGGATGACTGTCACTCCGCCACGTACGTAGTCGATCGCAAGAGCAGCGCCAAGGGAGTAGTTGGAACCTGGGAGGACGCGACAGAAGAAGAGAAGTTTTTGCACGTAGAGAGTCGCCTTGCAAGGTTGTGCTTCCAAGACTTTAGAATCGTCAGGATTCCTGTAGGCGATCATTTCGAAATATACAAAGTTGCCAGCCTGAGCCCAGCAATCTTTGCGTTTGAGATGAGGACCTTCGTCGCGATGCTGTTTAGGCTTGCTAGAATAGATAAACGACACACGTGGCCATCATGACTCTATCTCCTACGAGTCTACTGAGCCTGACAGCGCCTTCCGCAGTGCGATGACTCGACGCTATCCAATAGACTCTTCCACTGACGAACCGTGCTAGCAACTCGCAGATGGAAGTTTGTTTTGCGATGATGGTGTGAGTTGCTGCCGTGACCTCCTGCTTTCATCTCACGTCACTGATTACTGTATGAAACAACTTCGCAGAAAAGCAAGCATGCTGTCACCGTGGTGGTTCCCGGAGGCTACATTGCGAGATGCTCCGGTCTATTCGGGACTTCTCTGAATCCTAGCAGGATGTTCAATTCAACATTTACATGCGGCGAGATAATATCCGATTTTCAAACCTCCTACCTCAGTTGCCACTGCTTTCAAAGCCCCGCCGTTTCTCTTCGACTCTCTTGTTCAAGACCGGGATCATTTTCAAGTCGTCAACCCCAGCCTGGAACTTCGGACAACACTCAGTGACTTGTTATCAAGCAAAGCATCCGACATCAAGTGACGTTGCGACAAGTTCAATCCGGGCCGGGCTTCGGAAGTCACTCTCGAGTAAAAGTTGGTTATGAGCCTCGGACCTGTTCCGATGACGCACGGGTGCCTGGTGTGAGGGGTTCGATTCCGGGGAAGTCCAGGGGTAGGGGTTGTATTCCATCACTGAAATTACAGGGTGCGTTGGCCCATAATCTTAAGAAGGGGAGGGTAAGGTTCATATTACTACCGGTACTTTCATGTCACATATGCTACGCAAATGGGGGGTGGTACTATACCAAGTTAAGGGTAGTTGGTCAACACGTCAAGCCCGGCAGCGGCCTCCACAGAGCATGGTGGACGGGGAGGAGGGCGAGGGAGGAAGGAGTGAGAGGAGCGAGGGAGGAAGGAGCGAGAAGGGCGAGGGAGGAAGGAGCGAGAAGGGCGAGGGAGGAGGAGGAGCGGAGGGAGGATAGACATAGACATGAAGATGAAAACTTGGAAAGGATGAGGAACGAGCGGTGCAGTGCAAAGAAGGAATGCGGAGCTTACAGGAGCGTAAGAAATATGCTACGAGGTAGGAAGGGGAGGCTCCGAGGAAGAAGCAAAGTGAGAAGCTGCAGCTGACACATCAGCGATGGAGGGATGCGATCTAGGATACTATGCAGTACCGGTGTATAGGCCATGGGATGGAAGAATCCCGGGAGACAAGTAGGTCGAATTCGGAACAAGGAGAGGGACGGAATGGAGAGGAGGCACGAGAGTCGAGATGCATGGAAGAAAGGTTGCAGATAGAATTCAGATGAAATCAGGGATGTAGACGAGACAGGAAAAGCAGCCTCCGCCTTTGAGATCTAGCATGTAGAGCATTTGGAACATCAAAATCGAGCGGATTTGTTCTCAGATACCTGAACAACGAGGAGGCTGTGATCATGGTTTGAAGGTAGCTAGAAGAGATATCTTGGTAGGTAGAGAGCTTCAGGCTCAGATGCCTCGATCACGTGACAAGATAGGTGAGAGGGTAGAAAGCATCAGGCATCAGGGTTGTAGCGGCTTTGAGTAGTTGTGGAAACGTGATGCGATTCGAATCGAAGGCATTCTGTCGTAATGAGGAGATACGCTACTGGCAACAATGCTGGAGAATTCATGGAACATTATGTGATAGGACGTGATGAGATGGAAACTTCGATATAACATGCCAAGGAGAAACATGTATGATGTGGGGATGTTTCTGTTTTTGTTGCACGAGGCATGTTCTTACCACGCATAAACTCATGCTGTCTTGCGGTTTTTCTCCATGTCTCTACCTCTTAAGGACTTTGAGTGACTTGTCCGCCTTCAGTTGTAGCCCTCAGCACTTGGCTTGAGCGTCATCAGCAAGAATGCAAATCCCACTGCTAGGAGAGGTCACCCCTCTCCGCGCTCTCTTCCTCTTCCTCTTCTTCTATTCCAACGATTCTAACAGGTAAGACTCGATATGCCTGATGATGCTGTCTGCAGCATGTTTGTTACAACGTTATTTTTGTGTGTGGACGTGTTTGTACAAGCATCTGCCTGCAATGACATCGCGAGTCTAGTTTGGGAACATGGAGCACGTTCGGAGCAGGAATGTTGCTCAGCAATCTTGCGTCTGAATGCAAATCAGGTGAGGAGGATGAGGAGGATGGGTAGGAGGAGGGAGGGGAGGAGAAGGTGGTGGAGGAAGAGGGAGAACAGGAAGAGGAGGAGGAGGAAAAGGAGGAAGAGGAGGAAGAGGAGGAGTAAGAAGAGCCAAAACGGGATGTTGAAGGATGGAAAAAGGGATCTGTGTGATGAGTTGGGAAGTGTGTTGCGTCTGATCCGTGACTTGAGCAGATCGCATCAATTGGTCACACTTGGCGATGAGTGCGGGAGTGACGTTCTCTGTGCTCATTTATGCTTCTCTGTACCTGGAGCAGATGAGGATGATGATCTTTCTTTCGTTACAATCTCTCTTCGTCCCCCTGTACAAGTACAGGATGTGCAGGGTGCTGAAGCAGGGGAGCGCGCAGGCAGAGGGAGAGAAGTCTGACGAGTAAGCTGGAGGAGGAGGGGGGAAAGGGATAAGGGAAGGAAGAAGGGGAGGGAAACGGAGAGGCGTAGACAGAGGATGGGGATGTGGACAGTGTGTGTGTGGGTTGGAGGGAGGAGGGGGGAGAAGGAGAAACGAGTCAGGGGGGAGAGCGGGAAGGGTGGGGAAGGAGGAGGAGGTACGGGGTTGTTCAATGACTCGCTGGGCAGGGGAAGCAAGAGGGAAGGGGAGGGCGAGGAGGGGGTCGACATGCATGTCGAAATCTCATGGCAGCGTCTCTTCCCCGCGCTTCTCGCCCTGATGGTCTTCCTGTACCTGTGGGATGGGCTGAGTGGATTGGTGAGCGAGACGTCCCGTGTCCTCTCCTGCTGCAGTTATCCCTTCCTGTCCCTCAACCTCGCTCGCGCGCTCCGCACGCTCCTTCCCGCCCTCTCTCTCATTCATGAACCCCGCCCCTCCTTTCCTCCTTGCTCTCCTCCGTTCCATCCGCCTTCCACCCTCAATTCATGCCTCCCTCTCTCCTCCTGCTCTTTGTCTTCATTCGACCTCCACCGATCCTCCTTCTCCTCCCAACCCTCCAACACGTTCCTGTCCTCCCTCCTTCCTATCAGTGATCATTGATCATTATCGCCTCTCCCTTGCTCACTTGCTGCAGACCTCGGGAACTCTCTTCCTCATCGTCATGCCGGAGTTCACAGCCAGGCTCAAGGGCAAGCTCGCAACCATCGGCTTCTTCCTCCTCGTCATCCTTATCTCTGCTCCTATCGGAGCTCTTGTCATCGGCGCCATGTACTTCGAGAGGGAAATGATGGAGGTTCCCGAGCAGTACAAGTCCACTGCGAAATGGGTGAGAGCCTGTGACGGTTATGTTGCTGGAGCTGTGCTGGTGTTCAGCTGGGGGTTGTGTATGACTTGTCTGCTGGGCGTTGTGCTAGGAAAGTTGTTGGGGGCGACGTGTTGGGCTTTGTTATGCTGTATACTGTCTGACGATCTCGTTGTCGAGGAGAAATGTACTTGTCAGTGCCTGTGGGATTGGCTTCGAGATGTTTTCTTTGTCTTGGTGTGATGTTTTGCATCCCATCTGTTAGCTGCGACTTCATGTGTCTTTTCTCTTCTTGCCCCTTTCCTCTGTTCTGGAACATGTGTGTTGCTTTTTGATTTGTTGTCTCCTCGAGTTGTCTTTGCTTGTCTTGCTGGTCTCTCGTTTCATTTTCTTCTCTCACCTTTTCCACTTTCAAGATCCTCGGGGCCCGACCCGAGTCAGTGCCGGACTACTATTCCATCATCGGGGTGCGAAGAGGGGCTGATGCAGGTCTGACTCTCCTCATTGTCCCCGTCCCCTTCCCCGTCCCCATTCCCTTCCCCGTCCCCGTCCTCGTCCCCGTCCCCGTCCACGTCCCCGTCCCCGTCCTCGTCCCCGTCCCCGTCCTCGTCCTCGTCCTCGTCCTCGTCCTCGTCCTCGTCCTCGTCCTCGTCGCCTTCCCTGACAGTCTGACCTTGTCTCATCCTACACAGGAGAGATCAAGAAGCAGTTTCGCGAGCTCTCAAAGATTTACCATCCTGACAAGACGGCTGGAAACCCTGAGCTCCAGTGAGCCTCCCCTGCGTCCTCGCTCTCGCTCTCGCTCCCGCTTTCCATTTTCCATGTCCACGTCCACGTCCTCTCCCTTCTTCCTTTATATTCCCGCCTTCCATCTCCTTTCACTTCTTCCTCTTCCTCGTCACAGTTGTAATGTTTGTACAGGCAGAGATTCGTGCAGATCTCAGAAGCTGTGAGAAAATTGACGGGCAAGGCTACAGACAGGTGATGCTACCCCTGCTGCTGCTGCTGCTGCTGCTGCTGCTGCTGCTGCTTCTCCTGCTGCTTCTCCTGCTGCTGCTGCTGCTTCTCCTGCTGCTGCTGCTTCTCCTGCTGCTGCTGCTGCTGCTGCTCCTGCCTAGTCTTGCCCTGCTCCTCCTACCCTCGTCTCCTCCACTTGCTCTATATGCTTCTCCTGCTCCCCCCCCTTCGGCCCCGCCTCTGCTCCCGCGCTGCTCATCGCTGCATGCAGAGCGGCCTACTACAAGGAGCTCGAGACTGCTGAACTCACGGACATGGTCACTCGCTCTGTCTACTACTGCCTCCTCTTCGGCCTCTGGTAACTATCCCCTTCCCAATTCTCCCCCCTCCCCTTCCCTCTCCTTTCTCCCTCCCCCCTTCCCCCTCCTCTTGCTCCTGACTCTGACTCTCGCCCCCCCCCCTTCCCCTCCTCTCCCCTCCTCTCCTTCGTCTTTCCTGCCTCCTCCTGTATCTGTTGTTGTGTCCTCCTTGTTCTGGACTTGCCCTGCTCTGCTCTTCCTGCTGGAGGTTCTCCTCCTTTCCTCCTGACCCTCCACAGGTTTCTCATGACGGTCTTGGCCTTCCTTGGAAACAGAAAGCAGCAGGCTGCAGGAGGAGAAGGGGTAAGAAACGAGGAAAACGAGAACGAGAAAGGGTGGGAGGACGATGTGGGGTGGGAAGGTGCGAGAGAGTGTGGAGGAGGGGCAGGGGCAGGGGCAGGGGCGGGAGCAGGAGCAGGAAAAAGTAGGACAAAGAGCAGGAGCAGCAAGAGGAGCGACGGTGTGCATGTGATGGTAGCGTGAACAGGAGGAGGGCGCTGTTGCACAAGAGCCGAAGCCCAAGGTTCCAAGGTCGAAGGGCCAGAAATACTGGTTGCTTCTATCGGTAACTCCATTGCCCTCTTCCTCCTCCCTTCCCTTCCTTCTTCCCACCTAGTGTATCCCCCTCCTCTCGAGTTGCTCTCTCCCTCTCTCCCGTTCCTCTTCTCCTCCCCTCCCCCGTTCCTCTTCTCCTCCCCTCCCCCGTTCCTCTTCTCCTCCCCTCCCCCCTTCCTTCCATTCCCTTTGTGCGTCACTGCTTCCTGATAGTACCCCCCTGCTCCTGCTCTCGCTCTCCTCACATCCACACAGCTCCTCGTCTATCCACTATGGCTCTGGGTGGAAGCATATTGGAAGGACTGAAGTGCTGAAACTGAGGGGCGTCAGGGGACGAACTGCCATGGCTGCGAGCATGCCAGCCCTGCCGCGAAGCCATCCCATGCTGAATTATTTTGTTTATGTGAAGACAAGCTTCTCTTGAACCTCGTCTTCTGATCTATCTCCATGATTTTGAATGAACTGCCCGCCAGGCAAGCAAACACAAAGATTGTTTGACGCGTATGCAGCATTCATTAGACTCGTCTCATGTTGCAAGGTTCGTTTTATAGCAAAGATGTTAAGAGCACCTCACCCCATCACCCCCATGTCTAACCACATCTGTAATAGAGAGCTCCTCACACGCTTATCCTCTCAGATCGACGTAAATATTCTTCACCTGAACTTCTTCTTGCTCCTCCTCTCACCTTTCAGATCCGGCTTGACAGCATGTTTATGGATCTTCCCTCTTGCCTTTCTGCCCCAGTGCGAGCATGGCCTCTTTCCATGGTTTGCTTTCGTGGGCTTCCTTGCATTGCGATTCATCGCCTCCATGATGACCTGATCTTCATCGAACGCGTCGAACGAAGGGACGAAGACGAACTGGTTCAGCATGCAATGGGCCGGGCCTGGACTCTGCGATCCAATGCTCCCCGCTCGAGCTCGCGACTGAGCCAGCTGCTCCAAGCTCTGACCGAGGAAAGGAGAATATCTGATCGGGGTTGAGACAGAAGGGAACGATCCCTTAGCAGCGATGCCAGCAGGAAAGCTGCTGTCGGTTCCAGAAAACTTGAAAGCATTGCGGACAAAGCAAGTGGATAAAGAGGAGGAGGACGGGGGGGAAGGGGACAACAAGGAAGAGAAGGAAGAGAAGGAGGAGGAAGAAGAGGAAGTGGAAGAGGAGGAGGAGGATGTGAAAGAGGAGAAGCAGCGCGCAACCTTCGCCATAGCTCTCATGTTCTGTTGCCGAGCGGCCAGCATGTTCAGAGGCGTCGACGGGGCAGCCAGGTGGTGGGGTGATTGAAATAGTAGGTAGGGGTTCTTGAATGATTATTATTCGATGTAAATGGGGGGGTACTATTACGAATACAATGACCGGTTATCAATTATTTCATGGGGTAGTCTCATATGTAAGTGGGGATACGTGCAAGTTAGACATGGAGGTGATGGAAGATTGATCTAGGTAGGGTGGTAGAGAAAAAGGGGGTAGTAAAGGGTGAAAGAGGGGGTACTAATGAAAATTTGGTGGGGTCTTCAACCCTTGGGGTCATTTCAATGAAGGGGTACTTTTGGGGTCCATTTGTAGGGTACACTCATATACAGGAGTTAGTCCCAGGGTAGGGTGGTGGTTAGTTTGAATGTTGGGGGTGGGGGTAGTAACAAGTTGGAGTAGCGGCATGGCGCAATGGGCGCTATTGCTGATCAGCGGCTGCTGGCTCATGGCTGATGGCGGAGGCGACGCCCCTCATGGCGGCTTCTCCTCCATGAGACAAATTGTCGCCGAGATCCCAGGGCACCTTCATGATGCAGAAGCTTCTCAGGGCAGGCCGAGCCGTTCTCCTCTCCTCCCGAACATCGCGCAAAACCCTGAGGACGACCCTGCATCGACGCGTCACAGGCTGAAGGAGATGCGCGGATGTGCCATGGGCTCGCACAGATACGATCACGGAGTAGATTGTTTCGGAGGAGCGAGAAGCATGGCATGCGGGCGTACGACATCTAGAATTCTCGTCGGACGTTTGAATGGAGGAGGAAAACGCTCTGACGAGGCCCGGAGGCAGGAGCCTTCAGCTTACCGGCGGGTTTCGAGCAGCCACAGGGTTGAGAATCCAGTGGGCAAGGTGCCGCACTCGCCTGCTTCCTTGAGCAGCTCGGGCCATTCGCCTCCCAGGAATGGCCATGACAGGGAAGGGGTAGAGGAGGCACTTCTGGATGCTGCGTCTTCCGGACATTACTGGGCGATCCCTTCTCTTGCTCGAGGTGTCTCTGTCGAGTGTCGGAACGGGGAAGGCTTAACTCCCCTCATGATGGGTGAGAGCTGGCTACCCATCGCTCCTCACTCGGCCCTGATCCGTTCGTACAGGGGCCCTGCGAGGATACAGCAAGACGGTAGACCGACTGATCCAGCTGCATGCAAACGTCTCGGCTCGAGACGCTAGAGGACGGACGGCGCTGCATCTGGCTGCAGAAGCCGGCCATACCAACACGGTGGAGTGCTTGGTGATACGAATCCCCTCGCCCTGTTTTTGAATCCTGATCTGCCCTTGCTCCAGCTACACTTTGGCAGCAATGCTTCCTTGCAAGACGACTTTGGGCACACACCGCTGCATCTAGCGCTGATGTGTCGCCAGAGGTCGCTGAAAGATTCTAGATCACCTTGACGGTGATATGGAAATACCAGGTACGCGGCTGATAAACTGATCGCCCATGGCGCGAACATCTCAGCTGTTGACAAGCAAGGAATTTCTTGTCTGGAGTTGGTAAAGATTGTGCAGGAGGTAGAAGACTCATTGATAACTCCTCGTCCTTACAGGCGAGACAAGCGAAGATTGAAGTCGATGACCCTAAGGAGGGCGAGGACAAGACGGAGGGTGTCGAGACAGCGGATGAAAGCACTTTTTCGACCGTGGGCATATCCAGAGAAGGTTTTCTCCTTCTCATTCCGCTCAACTCAGACACTAACATTGCTGTGTTTGCAGAGCATGCAGATCCTTTGCCTTTGGTGAACCATTCAGAATCGATTCTTGAAGACGACCTGTCCTTGTGGGAGTGGTTGAAAGCCGTATCTCAAGAGGACGTAGAGCTTGCCAAGGAGTTCGTCTCGAGGTGCGCAGCAACGGCTCAGAATGGTTTGCATCTCACACACGGCGATCGCAGGAAGAAGAATGTTGTCGAGTGGGTGGACAACCGGGGCAGGACCGCCATGCATTACGCCGTTCATAGTGGGAACAACAAGATGATTCGATTGCTGGTGAGGCCGCGGTCCGATCCCTTGCTTCCTCTTGTTCTGACAGTTTTCTGTGGTTTCATCCTCCTCTCCGCTCCACTGGCAGTACAAGAATGGTGCAAAAATCGACTCGAGGGATGATTTCGGTCGTTGCCCCATCCATGTGGCTGCCAGCCATGGCAAATTCTGGGTGATCAGGCGATTGTTCAAACACGGCACAGAGATCGATTTGGTGGATCATGACAACAGGACAGCTCTGATGTTTGCGGCTTGGCAGGGATGCGAGGAAACTGTGAGCTGGGAATTGAGTTGTAACCAGCACGTTCTCACTTTTCCACCAGATCAAATGTCTGATCGGGCTGGGGGCTAACGTGAATGCAAGAGACAGGTGATTCGGTCTTTCCGGCGTTGGGTGAGAGCATGACGCGTTGCCGCCAGGTTCAACTGCTCTGCCGTGCACTTCGCGGCCTACAGGGGATACAACAGAACACTGTCCCTGCTTCTCAAGTTTGTAGAAGACGTCGATGCAAGGGATGAGCAACAGGGAACCTCGTTGCACAAGGCTGTGATGAACGGTCATACCAGCGTCGTCAAACTTCTACTGGAGGCAGGAGCTGATGTCAACGCCGTGGATGCTTCCGACTGCTCTGCCCTGCACTTCGCCGCCTCCAGGGGAAACGAGCAAGTACGCAGAGCAGGGGGGGGGAGGAGGATTTGACTCCGATCCTTCGCCCAGATGATGGAGACGCTGCTTGCTGCAGGAGCAGATGTGAAGGCTTGCGATCGGAGCGGCAAGACGGTCAGGCGCCCTGCTGTCCCTCCCCGTCCCTCTCTCACCCCGACGGTCCTCAGGCTCTGCACTGGTCCGCAGGCAACGGCCATCTGGGCTGCTCTCAGGCGCTGGTGAAGGCAGGAGGAGACGTGCTGGCCCGAGACGTCTTCAACGCGACTGCGCTGCACCTGGCATGCGAGTTCGGCCACACGCAGCTAGTCGACTTCCTTCTCTGTGCGAAGCCAAGGACCCAGCCAGCCAGCCTGCTGACCTGCCGGCAGGGTCCGGGGCCGATGCCAACGGGAGGGATTACTTCGGCAACTCTGCCCTGCACTTTGCAGCGAGGAAGGGGCAAGGGTATACGCACGTCTTGCTCTGCAACCCCTGTGGGGACGAGGTATCAACTCACCCGTGGTTAAGATCAGGCACATCCTAGAGCTGCTGATAAGGGCAGGAAGCGACCCGATGTCCAAGGTGGGCGGGTGAGGCTGTTGCCTCTTCTCAGGGTAAGGCAGGATGCTGCGGGATGGTCTCCAATGCACTGGGCGCACTCAGGGGGCCACAAGGAGGTTGTTTCCACCCTGTCTGCCCTCGGCTGCAGGCAACTAGGAGGAGATCGGGGAGAGTTTGCGCTGAGAGTTTCTGACAGCTTCCTGCACGAGCCCGCCAGAGCAGAGATGTTGGTGGAAGTTGGTATCTTCCATTGCCCGCCCTCGCCCTCGCCCTCGCCCTCGCCCTCGCCCTCGCCCTCGCCCTCCTCTTTCCCTTCTCTGCCTTCCTTCTTCGCCCTGAACGTGATGTTTCTAGACGACGTGGGCCGGGAGGTCCAAGGAGAGTTCACCAAGCACCCCAGCTACGAGGAGAAGCTTGAGAGCTTCTTCTCAGGTCTCAACTTCTCGAGCTTCAACACGACGGGAACGTGGGACCAGCAGGACGACAGAGGCCAAGACGACCTTACCCAGCAGCCGCCATGGGGGGACCGAGCGATCCCCGGAGTCCCTCACTGGCTAGAGGGAGGGAATGCTCCTGCCTGGCTCGACACCGAAGAGGATACGAGCTTGCTTCCCTTTGGAGCAGATGCTGACTCGCAGCCGGCTTCCTGGTGTGCACAGGAAGGGGGAGGAAACATGAACAAGTTGATGAGTTTGTTCCAAGACTCAGACGGATACTGATGCTCAGTTGAGGCAAACGTGTAATGTAACAATGATATAGTGTACAGAGAAGCAAGCATGTTATGAAACTATAATTCAGTGTACAGAGGAGCAAGCATGTTGTGAAACAATAATTATCGTTTATGTACAAGAGAACATGTGACAACAGTCTAGGCTTTGAGCTCCTTCAGCTTCGCGATCACTTCATCGGCGTGCTTGTTCAGGCGGCTCTGAACATCCGTGAAGACCCAGCGGAGGTTGCCGGAGGGATCGATGATGTAAGTTTGCCTGTTGGAGAACGACCCCATGAAAGGGATCTGGAGCGCGGACCCGTAGAGCTGTGACACCTTGCCTCCCTGATCGGAGAGGAGCGGGAAGGACAGTCCATACTTCTTGGCGAAGTCAAGATGCTTCTCAACAGAGTCGACGCTGACGCCAACGATCTCGGCGCCGAGAGCGCGGATGTCAGCAGAAGCCTTCTCGAAGTTGTTGGCTTCGATAGTACAGCCAGAGGTGAAGTCTCCGGGGTAGAAGTACAGCACAGTCCACTTGCCCTTGAGATCCTTCAGACCGATGTCCTTGCCCTCGTTCGAAGGAAGGAGGAAGTCAGGCGCCGGTGCATTCACGCTGGGGAGGCCTTCAGCAAAGGAGGAAGGAACCTCAAACCCGAGTGTGCCAATGGTGATAGCACTCACCCCCGCCATAGCGCTAGTGTCCTTGAAAAAATCCCTTCTAGAAAGGCCGCTGATCTCATCAGAGAGGAGGCTAGCAGTGACTCGGGATCTCGGGAGAGATGCGAGTCGGGAGGAGGGAGAGACGGAGGGGAGGGATGGAGAGACGAGAAAGGCGGAGGAGGAGGCGATGAGCGGGAGAACGAACAGACAACGAGCGTGCATGGCAACGATCGGAGGCCGATGGCAGCGAGCAACGAGCTTTATAATCAGAGGCCGTTCCACCCCACCCTTCCCTTTCTATCGAACCCCTCATGGAATTCAAGTACCCCCTTATTTTGAATGATACCCCTGTATATGACCAGAAAATATCACTCTTTTCTCATATAGAATCTAGTATCTTGGATCCCTACCCTGGATTTATCACCCTACCCACCCATATTTCGCTCACATCCCACCTACCACCCGAGGGATTCATCCCATCAGTTGAGCTTTAGAGGCGTGTGCAGTCAAATCTAGAGGGGGTAGGGTATTCAAATGTAGCTTTGAATCAATAGGGGTGGGTCATCAATGTGTAGTCTTCGTCTGAATTTTTGTACTACAATGGAGGGGTAATATTCCTTTGGGTTCATTTATGATGGGGTGGGGTACTATGGGACTTGTCAAACAAGGGGGTGGGGCTCAAATAGGATCGCAAAGTTTTCACCATTTCTCTCGCACGATGCTGACATTGGCGGGTAGTGGAGATTCAGTATTCATAGAGGGGGGTGGGGTTATTCAAATACCCCTCATCAAGTCATAACTTCACTTCAAAATCAAGACACCGGTGCTGTACTTTTTTTCACGATAGGAATTAGAGGGGGTAGAAATTCCTGCATGGTTCTACAGAGGGGGTAGGGGTCAGCATCACGTGCGCGTTGCAACACTGCTCGAGTAAAAAGCTCGGAGGCGCATCCGCTCATTTCCGTTACAACCGTTACAAATTACCTCAGTAGTATAAGGCGAATTCGGCCCCCGCGGCCCGCAGGGGCGGGCCCGGCCACCGCCTAGCCGGCCGCTCAGCTGGGGCGCCGGTCATGGTGCCTGCCGCAGTGCTGCCGCTTACGGTGCGGCTTCAGTCACCGTCAGTCACCGGGTGCCAGCCATCGACCGTACTCTGATCGGATCCGCCCGGTATCAGTAGTATCGTCTTCTTGAACTCGCTGATCGGACGGCTGGCGGAGGCTCCGAGTCGACTCAGGGCCCCGGGAATGAGAGTGGATACAGAGCGGTTACACTGTCGGTCAATTCATGAAGGCTCGCCGTCTTGTCTAACATCAAACAGCACAATGATTACGAGAAGTGATGGTGTACAGCCGCCTGCGCCTGCTCTTTCTCCCACACAAGCTGCGAATGAGTCTTGTAGTCGCCATGGTTGATGAGCTCGGTCTTGCTGAATTTCGGGTCGAGGATGTTGGCATAGATGGAGTTGGCGTCAGTGGCGCAAGTGCCGCCCACGCTCAGGAGGCGAGCGTTGCACTGATTCAAAGACGACAGAATCATCTGCGAACCAAAATGTTTCAGCCAACACCCCTCGAACATGACGCAGATAAGTTTGTGCAGCTTGATCTCGGTAACTTGACATCTCCCCTCTTCCCCCTCAAACCCGCCTCCCCCACCTGTGTTTCAAGGCAACAGCTGCAACCCAGCCTCACATTCTTTCTCTCCGTTACTATCTCATTTCAAAACCAATGCTTTCATAAACTCCAACACTATGTCATGGTTAAAAATTCACTCGACGAGCATTTTCCCCATCACCATAAGGATTATTCAATCATTCGTTCCTGTGTTGCCCCTAGCCATGAAATAACAAGAGTTTCTGATCCCCCCATACCCTGTCATAATCTCCCGGAATCTTCCTTTCCCAAACACCACAGATTCCTTCTTATTCCTTTGCGTCTTGAGCATGATCGACTATCCTGTTCAGTTCAGTTCCATTCTGTCCCTCTCTCTGTCCCTGCCGCTGTCAGTGCACCTCTGATTTCTATAGTCCTATCTCTTGTGCTGTCTCATTCCATCTCTTTGTCGCTGCCTCTCCCCCTGTCCCTTTTTCCGTCCCTGTCCCTGTCCCTGTCCCTGTCCCTGTCCCTGTCCCTGTCCCTCTGCCTGCCTGGCTGCCTGGCTGCCTGTGCCTGCCTAGCTTCCTGCCTGGCTGCCTGGCTGCCTGGCTGCCTGGCTGCATCTTTCCTTCTCTCTTTCTCTGTCTCTGTTCATTTCATCACATGCGTCTCAACCATTAGCCCGTATCGCCGGCCCATGGCGGCTCTTCACTTCCGACCAACGAATCGTAACGGAATAGAATAGAATTGGAGTAGCAAATCTAGAACAAATCTAGAACAAATCTAGAACAAATCTAGAACAAATCTAGAACAAATCTAGAACAAATCTAGAACAAATCTAGAACAAATCTAGAACAAATCTAGAACAAATCTAGAACATCGTCAAGATCAACTGCCCGGGGCGACGGAGGAATGGGTGTGCAGGCGAAGTGAGCAGGAGCGACAAGGGGGGAGGTGAGGAGGAGGGAGGTGAGGAGGAGGTAGGAGAGACAGGAACAGAAGAGGAGAGGAGAGGATATCCGGGAAGCAAGAGGCAAGGTCACAAGATGAGATGAGATGAGAGGATGGACAATCGCCGTGGTCGCATGAAAGATTTTCCACGAATGGATTGTACACATCGCCCCCTGGAGTGATACGGCGCATCTCTATCTTTGGAGAGAGTTGCAGAGAGCATCGCAGCTTGACTCAGCGATCGATGAGAGTCTCATTCATTGTTCAGCTCCACCAGGCCAACCTCGCCTCGTCAATCAGCAAGAACCCTCTGACGTACGCTGAGTTTCACTATGACTCTCAGCGTCATCGAAGTTCTACCAGGCTGACCAGCTCCGGCCCGGAATGGAACGAGATATTCTTCTTTGACATGGTTGGCGACGACAGCCCGACCCTCTCAGTCTCTCTCCACCAGGTTGACAAGGACGGCAACGGAGACAAGGCAGGCGAATGCAACATTAGCCTCTCCGACCTCCGTGCAGAGCTGACTTCGGAGAGATGGTTTGAACTGACTAGCTCGACATCTTCATTATCCTCTGAGGGTGAAGTGGGTTGCGGCATTTGCTTGTCGGTACAGCACGTGGATGGTCAGAAGCTGAATGATATGTTCAAGTCGAAAATGCCGAGGTCTGTCCCAGACGAGAGGATGTTGAAAAAGCTGGCAGAGCAGGGGAAAGGATTCATTGAAGTGTCTGTTGTTGGAGGACAAAACTTCTTCTCAGTACAAGACAGCACAAAAAACATCAGCCTTGCCGGCAACAACTCCCACAACCACACGCACAACAGCAGCAGCAGCCACAGCAGCAGCAGCGGCAACATGGATTGTTATGCTCAAGTGAGAGTAGGAGGAGAGAGTTTCACCTCTAGAGTGATGAAGAAGAGCTCGTCGCCATTCTGGAACGAGAGGTTCTCATTTGCATACGAGCAGCTCCCCGGGATGATAGAGATAGACGTTAAGGAGAGGAGGCAGGACGGCGACAGGGTTGTGGGAACTTGCATGATACGAATCGACGAGCTGCCTGCGGGAGAGGAGGTGCAGCGGTGCTGTATCTTGCGTTTGCGGGATGGAAGGAGGAGGTGGAATGACAGGAGGCAAGCTGTGCTGCGGGTAGCTATGAACCTCTTTCAGAGGTCATCGATGAAGGTTGAGGTACCCCGTGTGGATGTTCTCAAGGTCAAGGAGGAGAGGGCTTCCTCCGGCAGAGGCGCCTGCTCTATTGTAGTCCTTGCAGCGAGCATAGTCTCCTCCTCCTACTGGGAGCAGCAATCGTCTTCCTTCTTCATTGAGCTCCTCACCAACGAGACAAGGACGTACACGTATGTGGATCAGCACCTCTGCTCCCCTACCTGGAATTCTCCCTTCCTTATCGACCTCGAGGCGGATGCTCAGGTTGTCCAGGTGGTAGTGAAGAGGAAGAGCTCTTCTCTGGACCAGCGCAAGCAAGACGCCGTCGTCGCGCAGACCTCTCTTGTCCTCGCTGACATGTTCCATCAGCCGCATGCGGCATGGTACGAGCTGCGAGGAGAGGACGGGGAGGTTGCGGCGAGCATCAGGCTACTGACGCACATGCTCTGTGCTCCTCGGCTGAAGCTCAATTATCCTCATAGGAACGTTCACCAAATGAAAATGAACGATGCCAAGGGGATCGGATGTTTGGAGGTGATAGTGGTCGCAGCGAGGGACATTCCTGTGGAGAAGGAGACGGGGAGGAGGGAGACGACGCTGGCAGTCAAGGCTGGGAGGAGCAAGATGGTCATAGAGGGAAGAGGAGGGTCAAACCCTGTATGGAACCATCCGGTTGCTCTTGATATCGATTACGGAGTGAGGAATATCACGATTGAGGTGAGGAGGAGGGAGGATATTTGATGTGATGTGAGAGTTGTGGTGCGGAGCTCTGCGTGCAGCACATGTTTTGAGTTGTCTCATGATCGATGAGTTGGTTGTGGTGGTATTGACAGTGAATCCGTGCGATCCGGAGTGTTGTTTCAACGTTTTTGTTTTCTCATGTTTGTTTTCTCCTGTTTGTCTTCTCCTGTTGTTTCCCTGTCTGATCATTCATTTTCTTCTCATATGTTTGTACCAGCTTCACGACCTCTCCTCCCTTCGCCTTGATGGCTCTTGCTTCGGTAAAGTTGAAATAGACATCGAGTCTCTGAAGGAAGGCGAAGAGGTGAACTGCATGCTGCTGCTACACTAGCTGTTGCTGCTGCTGCTGCTGCTGCTGCTTCTACTAGCTGCTTCCCCTCGTTGTTCCCCTCTTTCCCCTCCTTCCTCTCACGCTTTTCCTTCCCTTCCTTCTCCTGCTCGTCCTCTGCTCCTCTTCGTCAGTTCCCTATCTGCCATTTTGTTTGCTCAACCTCTTGCTTGCACCCATATTAACATCCTCCACCACCTCCTCCTCCTCAACCACCACCTCCACCTCCACCTCCACCTCCTCCACCCTCTCCACCTCCTCCACCTCCTCCACCTCCTCCACCTCCTCCTTGTCTACTCACCGTTGTTCTTCCTTTTCTGACTTCTCATCTGACTTCTCTCCCCCACCTCCTTCGCTCCTCTTGGAAGGTCGATGCATGGCACAACGTCAACATTGAAGGAGGGGGAGGGGGAGGGAGGGGCGGGGGAGGAGGAGGAGCAGCCGGATCGTTGAGATTGGTTCTCATATACGCTAAGAAAGCCTCAAGAAAGGAAGAAGAACACTTGGAGCATTCCAAGGTGAGGGAGA